CCCCCCCCCCGCCCCTACACTCACCCCCCACCCCACCACAAAAAACCCCACCCTGTGCACCCTCGGAAACATCAGTTAGTGTTCCATTCAATGCAAATAGAATCAACAAATAAGATAGGAAAAAAAACAAGTACCGAACTGTCGAAGCCATGAATAAATTAAAAGAATAAAATGCAAGAAATGAAATTCAGAAATGAGAACGACAGTTAAAGATATAAAATCACACACCGACAATAAAATGGGCAGGCAAAGTCCATCACTCGTAACAGAAAATGTAATGTACATGGAAAGTCGTGAACGATGCGAAGTACCTGACAGGCTGACACTAATATGACACATGCAAATGCAACATGATACAATGTATCCTACAGGCTACTGCTAATGCACTGGCACCACATGTCCAAAAAAATACAAGAAACAATAGTCTACAAGTCGTGTTGTAGCTGCCTAAATGATACAAGAAAGAAAAAAAAATATACAGTCTGAACTCAGTAGTGTGCAACCGACGGCACTCTGTGAACACCCTACTCAGCCTACTGGCACCAAAATCATACTCTACGAACACCCTACTGCTACCAAAATCATACACACCAACAAGTAAAGCACGCACACAACCACTGATTGTCTGACAATACTGAGACAAGACGAGACGACTCAGACTACAAAAAAAACTACAACCGCACAACATGACGACGTACAGTGCGAGTAGGGGAGAAGCGGAGTGTTGGCCTCATCGCTCAACGACCCTTCTTCCCCTTCCCGCTGTGTCTCCTCGTGCCCCCTCGAGTGCCGGATGTCGACCTCTTCCTCGCTCGTGATGATGAAGAAGTCCGTGCAGCGGAGCGTCTAGATGCACGCGTCGGTGGGGGTCCTGGGGAAGGTGGGGGCTCATCGTAGTCGTCGTCGTCGTCACCATCGGAACCGCTCCTGCTATCCTCCTCTCCCTCCTCCTCGCCCTCGTAGTCCTCGTCCGCATCCCGCACAGCCGCATCCGTATGAGGATCATCCTCCTCGATGGTGACTTGGCTTTTCCCCTCCTCAACACAACAACCCTCGCACTAGCCTCTGCAATGGTCTGCTCACGGCGGGAACCACGAGGCATCCCCAACCCCTCCGCCCCCGAACTCTCTCCAAGTGCTGCACCTCCCTCTGCAGGCACGAGGCGTGGATGAGGAGGTACTCCACGCTTGCGTGGAGTCTGCTCCTGCACGGCACGCGTCGCTGCTCTCAGAGCGTACTCCAAGATATCGGTCGACACTCCTTTGCCACGACCTCGCTGAGGCTCACAACCCGATGCCGGTACCAACCTCGCCGTGGTCGTCCTAGCGCCTCCTCCTCCCGAGCCCGGCTGAAGGCGTGCAGTGTGCTCCGTGACACGGCGGGTGGAATCCAAATGTATATCTGTCCTCCCGAATATCGTCGTGTCACACACGTCCTGCTGAACTGCTGTCGTGTCACGAATCCTAGATCTCTYAGGCGTGTGTGGGGATCGAGAGCCTCTGCCTGTGGGTGACGATGATGGATCACCTGCAGGTGCTCTGGGAGGAGGGGGTGGCATGTCTCCTGTGCGTGGCGCTGTCTCCGTCACGCCACCCGAAACCCCTGGAACATGTCCCGCGGTATGTCCTCCAGWGGAGGTAGACCCAGACCACACGGGC